TTTAAAAAATAAATAAATAAATAAATAATATTTTGAAACCATGCTTTTTAAATGCTTTATATCAAATATTCCTATTTTCATATTTAAATTATTACTCAGACAATTATAAATGTATTTATTTAGCATCTGTGCTTGAAATTACGTATTTTGACTCAGCAAAAGGAAAAATATGAGAGCAAGTAAAATATTGTGAGTCTGCCACTGGAAGTATTTGAAGTGAAAGCAAAGACCTTGTCGTGCTTTCCTCAGTGCTTGAAATGGTGTAGATAAAGCAGGCATGCAATGCATTGTTGCTGAATGAATAAAGGAATTCATTAAATCTTAAATTTGTTTTAATTTTAGAGGTTTGAGTACCACAGAAAAGGAAATTTCTACTTAACTATATTTGCCTTTTTCCCCCCTCACATGCTTATTCTTTAACTTTTTTTGGTTATGTGCTAGATTCTGTTTTGCTACCAACAAAGCAGTGAACAAAACACAAAAATTCCTTCTCTCGTGGAACTACTCTAATAAAGAGGATATGCAAATTTTAAAAAAAAATGCCAGGGGATTGTCATGGGCGGGGGGAAAAAAGGACACATATGTAATACCCTTTGTAATACTTTAAGCAATAAAAAAAATAAAAATATAAATGTTTTATGAGGTTGAAAAAATAAATAAAAATAAAAAATGTATATTATTATTATGTGGTGATAATAATGTGGTGATCCCCTTTCCCAGTTCATTCTCCTTTTCCCCCAAGAAGGAAAGCGGGGTGGTACTGACGAGGGAAGAAGTCATTTTAAATTGTCTGGTCAGGGAATACATAATTGAGACGATGCCATTTGTATGAAGATCTAAGAGGTGGTGAAAGAGCAAGCCATCTATAAAAATACATCAGACCAGCCGAAACCGGTTTGGCTCAGTGGATAGAGCGTCAGTCTGCGGACTGAAAGGTCCCAGGTTCGATTCCGGTCAAGGGCATGTACCTGGGTTGCGGGCACATCCCCAATGGGGGATGTGCAGGAGGCAGCTGGTCGATGTTTCTCTCTCATTGATGTTTCTAACTCTCTATCTCTCTCCCTTTCTCTCTGTAAAAAATCAATGAAATATGTTTAAAAAAAAAAAATACATCAGACCAGAACAGAAGGTGCAAAATCTCTGGAGCAGGAGCAGGCATAGTATATTCAAAGAATATTAAGGATGCAGGTGAGGCTGGAAAAATGAACAGAGGCAAAGCTACAGAGATAACGTCAAACAAATACAGGATGGGAGTGGGTATGGTACAGATTATATAGGCCTTGTAGCCATGGTCATTCTTTGACTTTTACTCTGAGATGGAGAACAGTTGGTAGATTCAGAACAGAGGAATCACAGTACCTGATATATTTTTAACAGCAGCACTCTGGCTGATAATTTCAGAATTAAAATAGATGGGCAGAGGCAGGAAGACCTTTTAGGATGCTGTTTTGGTCATCTAAACAAGAAATGATATGAACCAAGATGAAAGGAGTGGAGGTAATAAGTAATCAGATTGTTTTTTGAAGACAGAACCATAAGGACTTGATGGCTTATTGGACATAGGACATGAAGAGAAACAAGTTTAAGCATGAGAATTTTGGCTTGAGCAGCTGGATTCTGGAAGGATTGGGTAGCCATTTACTAGGATGGAGCTGTCTGCAGAAGGATCAGTTTTTAAAGGGAAAATGAGGAACTCGGTTTGGGCTATATTATGTTTGAGAAGCCTATTTTTTATTCAAGTGGAAATGTCAACTAGACCATTAGATACAGAAGTCTGGAATTCAAGGAAAAGGCCCAGGCTAGAGGTAATAAATTTGAGAATTGTCAGCACATAGTTTTTTGTTTGTTTGTTTTTTAAATGCCCATGTGCATTTTATTAATAAAAACTAACAGTGCCAAGTTAAACAAGTCAAACAAAGTATCTTTATATTCCATAAAATATTACAGAAAAGTTTGTGTTTCAATAAAAAGACTATTGTTTTAGAACAGGCAGCTAACACAACTGTGCAGTCAATGGTTCTTTGTGGATAAATTTTAAAAGAAGCTACTGCCTGTCCTGAAATTCCTTTTTCTTTTTATAAAAAAAGAACTATTTAAAATGATTGACAAATTTTGAGTTAAAAAACTGTTAAAACATTCTCTATATTTAATTTCAACTTTATAATAGATTACAGGAAGATGCTTAATTAACAAATACATTTGTTTCAGTACAGCACATAGTTATTTAATATTTAAATCTATGAGATTGGATGACATCACTAAGGGAATGATCATATATACAGGAGACCAGAGACCTAAGGGCAGAGACCCTGGGGCAAACCAAAGTTAAAAGGTCTGGGAAGGCGGTCAGGGCACATGACTGCATTCTGGGGCGTGCAGGAGGCAGCTAATCAATGATTCTCATCATTGATGTTTCTAGCTCTCCCTCTTTTCCTCTCTGAAATCAATAAAAATGTGTGTGTGTGTGTGTGTGTATTTTTTTTTTTTAAAGAGGCCAGTGAGAGAGAGGGAAATCAGGCAGATGGAAACCAGGTGAAGAAAATGTTCTAAGGAGAAGGGAGTGATCAACTGTGTCAAATGCTGCTGATAGATTAAGATAGAGGACTCAGAGATGTCCATTGAATTTGGCAACGTGGACATCTTTTGTACACTTAATCCTCATAAACACCCTGGGATAGGTAGTACTATTGTTCCTGTTTTACTAAATTAAAAAAAGTTTTACAGCTGTTGAATGTGCCCAAGGTAAAACACTACTAAGTGATAGATATGTGTACTGAGTCCATGTCTGTCAAACTTTTTAGCCTCTGTACTGTATTTTTTATATCATCTAGAATTTTCAAAATTTTGTAAAACATTTTAACTATGGAAAAAATCTAGATTAACAAAGATGCACATTCTCTACTCAGAATTAATGGATTATTGAATTTTGTAATATTTTATTTAGATGTACACCTTATCATCAACATTCCTTACCAGAGTAATGCATTTGCTACAGTTGGTAAATCTACATTGACAACATCATTATCACCTAGAGCAGGGTGGGCAAACTTTTTGACTCGAGAGCCACAATGGGTTCTTAAACTGGACCGGAGGGCCGGAACAAAAGCATGGATGGAGTGTTTGTGTGAACTAATATAAATTCAAAGTAAACATCATTACATAAAAGGGTACGGTCTTTTTTTTTCAATAGTTTAATTCATTTCAAACGGGCCGGATACGGCCCGCGGGCCATAGTTTGCCCACGGCTGACCTAGAGTCTATCACTCTTGATTTTGTATATTCTATGGGTTTGGACAAATGTATCCATCATTTTAGAATCATAGAGTATTTTCTCTGCCCTAAAAATTCTGTGTTCCACCTATTCATTTACTCCTCTCCCACCCATACCCCTTTCCCCTCTCCCCCAAGGCAACTACTGATCTTTTTACTATCTTGATAGTTTTACCTTTTCAAGAATGTGGTATAGTTGGAATCATACAGTATGTAGCCTTTTCAGAGTGACTTCTTTCACTTTGGTAATATGCATATAAAGTACCTCCATGTCTTTTCCTGGTGTGATAGCTCATTTCTTTTTTACAGCTGAATAATGTTTCCTCGTCTAGATATACCACAATGCATTCATTCACCTACAGAAAGACTCTGGTTGTCTCTAGTTCTGGCAATTATGAATAGAACTTCTGTGAATGCTGTGTGTAGGTTTCTGTGTGTACATGATTTTTTTACTCCTTTGAGTAAATACCAAGGAGCATGATTGCTGAATCATATGGTAGGACTATGTTTACTTTGTGAGAAACTGCCAATCTGTCTTCCAAAGTGACTGTACCATTTTGCATTCCCTCCAGCAATGTATGAGAGTTCCTTTTGCTCCACATGCTTATCAGCATTTGGTTTTGTCAATGTTCAGGATTTCAGCCATTTTAATAGGTATGTAGTGATAACTTGTTTTAAATTGCATTTCTCAGGTAACATGATATGGAGCATCTTTTCATATGCCTATCTGTCATTTGTTTATCTTTTGTGGAGTGTCTATTAACATGTTTGGCCCATTTTTTAATTGGGTTGTTTTCCTATTGTTAAATTTTAAGCATTCTTTGTATATTTTGGATAACATCCTTTTATCAGATATTATTGGCTGGTTTTTCCTGATTGATACTATTTTTTATTTAAAGTAATCATTTTAAATGCTTTCTGAGAAACTAAGATGATTACAAAATATTTTATTGTCATCAACTGCTAAGTGGTAGAATTTTCTGCTGATTTTTTAAAACTTAAGTTTTCTTTATAGAGATCTAGCCTTAAAATGTATTAAGTGAATGCTCATTTCTGTATATTATGGATTATGACATCCCTTAATTGCCTAGCATGAGGTAGAAAAGTATGAAAGATGAATTAAAATACAAAATTGCTTACCTTGTTAGCTTTAATAAAATGTTTGATTAGGGAAAAGAGATCATATGGTTATAGGGATGTCTGTATTTTAATAAACCATGCAATTTAGTTTCCCATGTTGTTCCTTTATTTCCATTTTATATAATAGTATTGTTATAAATATGTAATAGTAGGGCTGGAATATTTACTTTTGAGATGGTCATTATTAGATAGTGAATATCAAGCCATATTTTTATGCTCCTAGAGGCCCGGTGCACAAATTAGTGCACAGGTGAGGTCTGGCCAGCCAGCTCCCATTGGGGCCTATCGGGCCAGGCCAGCCGGGGAGAGGGGCGGCATGCAATTGGGGTGGGGGGCAGTCAGGGGGGAGCCGGCCAGAGGGAAGGGCCACAGGCGGTTGGCTGGCCAGCCCTGCCCCCTGGTCGAACTCCCAGTTGAACTCCCGGTTGAGGGGACAATTGCATATTAGCCTTTTATTATATAGGATTGACTCTTATCTAACAAAAATAAAAAAAATAGTGCTCTTTGACACATGATGTCATATTTCTGACTTTTCTATAAATAGAAAAATATAAGAATCCTTTCGTAAATTTTATCTTACTGTCTTTCAGATTAACCAATAGAAATATTATACACAAACCTGCAGAATGGACCTTAATTGCTATGGTGTTGCTGTCATTGTAAGTACTCTTTCAGATTTTAACTAAATACTAAATATAAAGAACTTTGATTAGGGAAAAACAGAGTTGTTCATTGATTTTGTAAACATCCTTAGAAAATGTTGTACTCCTATTTTGTGTCTTATATTTATTTCCTTTATAATAAAATAACTTTTATGTAAAGTGATATGCTATATTTTGATATGTTATAATCATTCTCTATATTTTATTGTCTTTTTTTCTGATGGCCTTTTTCTTTGCAAATATTACTTATCTTTTGAAAGAGAAGAACATCCCTGTGTGGGATATGTGCAGAGGGTTCTTTAGTTTCATTTTTAACTGTATTTTATTAACAGTAAATGGACCACATTATTTTAAATCTATATTTTTATCAACATATCTAAATCTATTTTATTTTTCTTCAACATATTTTATCATTAATAGCATCAGAAAAGTTTCATTTTCAAAATTAATGTATATCTTTAAAATCAAACATTTAAAGGAACTAAAATAGATACTACACAAACATATATAAAACATTTAATATTCACTCATCCATAGCCAGTTAACTGCTACACGTCCAAAACAGAAACCATCCTTGTGTCTATAGATGCTTATGGCATACAAAGGGTTAAAGAAATCACTAGTGGTTTCTTAGGATGTCTTTCAGTAGGGTTAAAACCATCTAGTAAGTATGTGTTTTTCAGCTTGAATTGCAAAAGTCTTTTTTTTTTTTTTTTTGAGGACCATTCGTTACTTAATTACTGTTGATATTTGGTACTTGTTAGGTCATTGAAGCCCATAGGACATTGAATACATACTGGACACTCACAAGTCAAGAAATGTTATGAGCCAGCCTCACAGCATCTCCAGTCCTGCTTTCTCTTTCTCTGATATTATTTTAGTCAGACATGTTATTCTGGCTTTACTGTCCCAAGGAAGGCTGTGCTGGGAGACATTAGGGTAGGCTTCACTGAGCCAGCATTTGTGTCACCCAACCAGATACAACTCACATGATTCATTAAATCAGAACACAGAAAATAACTTTACTTGAATGCCCTGATATAAATTTTTTATGAACCAGAAGAACAAATCTTTATCATTTCTACTACTCAGTGTTCCAGTTGAGTTCCTTATTTGTGAAACAGATCTTAGTAATTTTTTAGAAAGTTCTTTCCATTTTATGAAACTCGTAAATATTTTGGTCACTGGTGGAAAAAAAATCAGTATCTGCTCACCCACCATATCCGATGCCTGCTAATAAACCCTCATAGATAACTGTTTAACTGTACTTCTGCAATTCATTATACTAAAGAGGAAGTAACTTTTTTGGTTGACAAGTCAGAGGCTTATGTCCAGCAGTAATCTCAGAATCTTGCTTTCTAAGCCAGTAACTGGAAATATTATCTTATTGAGCAGCTGCTTACTGAGAACAAATGTTAAGTCCTACTTTTTTTGTCTGTCAAACTCTTGCTACATCTCCAAAATGTACAGCAAGCAACAAATAAGGTGTGGAAAATTAAGTAATAAAGGCAACCATAAAATTTCATGATTTTTCCATACAAAAATAAACCTCTAGTGTTTGATTTTAATAGAGGCATCCATGTGGCAAAAATTACTGAAAGCTTTCCTAGTCCTTTGATGCACTATTTGACTTTCCTAACTTTGGATGTAATGTAGGGAACCTCTTATTTCAGGGGTCAGTGTCTCATAAAAATAGTAACTTAATTCAATTCAAGAAACAAGCTGCACACATCTTAGATGTATTGCATGTTTCACATTGTGCAGTCAATCTTGAGGTTGTAGCAGTAAACGCTCTTTCTTTTTGTCACTCACCTTGAATCCTTTCATTACTCCCTAACCCCTACAGCTAGATATACCCATCTTCTCCTGGTTCAGTGGTTCTCAACCTTCTGGCCCTTTAAATACACTTCCTCATGTGTGATTCAACCATAAAATCATTTTCGTTGCTACTTCATAACTGTAATGTTGCTACTGTTATGAATCGTAATGTAAATATCTGATAGGCAGGATGGTCTTAGGCGACCTGTGTGAAAGGGTCATTCATCCGCCAAAGGGGTTGCGACGCACAGGTTGAGAACTACTGTCCTTATCCTTGGTCCTTTTGATACCTATATAACTAAACTACTTTCTAATTAGGGCCCTTTAGATTTTTTTTTTAATCCTCAGTCACTATAGACACCAAGTCAGATGGCACTTTCTTAGTTTTTGTCTTTCAAATCTTTTCTCATAATTCTAACTTTTGCCATAGGCCCTCCTTATAAGTTATCACTGATCCTTTCCATTTTGCATTTGCATTCTATATCTTCATTAGCCAAATCTCCTTATGCTTTGGTTGTCAGCTTCTAAGACTTCTATCTCCTGCTCCCATATTATTTTATTTCTTATTTCCTCTTTTCTCAGAAAGTCCCCTTTGGCTTTTCATATTTCTCTCCCCCTCCCCCCCCCAAAGAATCTATGGCTCAACTGAAACCCCTTTCATTCTCAACTTGTTCTTTTGTCACCTTTTTAGAATAAATATTACTATATGAAATGGGGATAAAATTAAAATACATATCTATCATGTTAAAACTAATCCCATTGACTTCTATAAAGTATAATTATACTTTATACTGGTACCCCTCTTTCTTACCACTTACAGTTTACAGTTTACAATTACGTAAGAAGGCACTTCGTTGGGGAAAGAAAAAGCAGGCATAAGGGCCAGCATTGCATAAAGTGTCTTAAACACAGTGAAAAGTATGGAGATTTTAGACATCGAAAGAGACATGCACATATAGAGAAAGGGAGTAATACACTCATACATATTTGTGGAATAGTAACCCAGCCATTCAGCCTTTTAACTTATCACCACTAAGATTGAACATAGACATACATAGGATTACCCTTTTTAAAAATAATTATCTTAGGATTTGGAAAACCTTCACATCTACTCTTAAACTTTCAATGGAATTTTTTTAGTCATTATTTGTAGACATTTCTGGAGTTTATGTTAAAAATGAACTTAAAAGTCTTTATAGCTAGGAAAAAGATTCTGAATGGCAAGTGTAGTCACTGAAATGAGTATAAGATAATATGTTCAGTATTTTTATAACAATGGTACTATTTTTTATATATGAATATTGCAAAGTTTTTTTTATTACTAGCATTTGTTTAATACATGAAAGCTGTTTTCAACATTTCTCATAAGAACTTAGAAAGGGTTTATAGTTATGAGTACATAAAACAGTTTATGCTTGTAGTATTATTTATTAACTAGAGGTCCAGAGCATGAATTCATGCATGGGTGGGGTCCCTCAGCCTGGCTGGCGATCGGGGCCATGGGGGCCACAGGAGGTTGGCCGGGAGGAGGGACCCCAGGAGGTTGGCCAAGGGGGGTGGGCACAGGAGGTTGGTTAGCGGGGGGGAGGGGCTGCAGGAGGTTGGCTGGCCTGGGGGTGCAGGGCACAGGAGGTTGGCTGTGGAAGTGCACTGACCACCAGGGGACAGCTCCTGCATTGACCGTCAGGTCAATGTGTGTCATAGTGACTGGTCAGCTGGTTATTCCAGTTGTTCGGTCACAACAGTCACTTAGGCTTTTATATATATAGATTACTAGAGGCCCGGGGCACAAAATTCGTGCACTCGGGGGGTCCCTCAGCCCAGCCTGTGCCCTCTCACAGTCTGGGAGCCCTTGGGGGATATCCAACTGATGGCTTAGGCCCGCTCCCCAGGAGGAGCGGGCCTAAGCCATCACTTGGACATCCTAAGCACTGCCACGGAGGCGGGAGAGGCTCCCACCACGGACACTGCACTTGCAGTGAGCCTAGCTTCTGGTTGAGCGGCGATCCCCCTGTGGGAGTGAACTAACCACCAGGGAGCAGCTCCTGCATTTTGCAAATATGCAAATTGACCTAATGGCAAAACAACCAGTTGCTATGATGCACACTGACCACAAATACCACATGCAGGTGCGCATGTACAGTGCGATTGAAACTTCGTGGCCCATGTGCAGAAGTCAGTATTTTGTGGAAGAGCCACACTCAAGGGACCAAAAAGCCACATGTGGCTCGCGAGCCACAGTTTGCCGACCACTGGTATATAGTGATGAGAATGCTATATCCATAAAACCTAAGAAAGAAATTGATCAAATTGGTATACTTGATCTTTGCACACTCAATGAAATGCATCTATAAAAAGACATTATGATCCATTCCCACTTCATTTACTTTCATGGGATTTGAATGGCCAGTGGAACTGCAACATTTTTTGATATTTATACTATGTATTCAAACCCTAAATAGTTCTAAGAACATAGGGAAGCAGTGTACATTTATTTAACACTAAAGGAATAAATGTCCCTGAAATTCTCTTAATTTTTTATTTAATGTTATAGTTAACAAAGGTTCTTAAGAACTCCTTACACACAGAATATCTATAGCTAGGGGCCCAGTGCACAAATTCGTGCACCTTGTAAAGATCTATGGGTCGTGAGGCTGTCGTGGGCACAGGGGCGGGTCTCGGCCCATCCTCTACGCCCCTGCCTGGCCCCTCCCTCCATGACCCCTGGTCCCCTGTGTGCCGGCAGCCCTGCTCCTGCCTCCGCCACTCCGATGTGCTAATGGCGCCGGCCCCGTTCGCACCCGCTGATGGCGTGGAGCAATTGGGGCCAGCACTGGCAGTGGGTGTGAGAGGCGGCTCCTGGCCCTGATCACCCCTTAGGAGCAAGGGAAGGTAGAGAAGCCCTGAGGAGCAATCGGGGCTAGCAGCCGCCGCTCGTACCCACTGTTGGAGCCAAGTGATCGGGGCCAGCGCCAGGCACTGGCAGCAGGTGCGAGCTGCGGCTCCAGTGTCAGCAGCACGTGCAAACGGGTCCAGTGCCAGCAGCAGGTGCGAGCTCTAGGTGGAACTGCAGCACCGCGCAGGAACAAAGAATTTTGAGTAACCACCAGAGGCTTGCCCCAATGACAGCAACTGACGCCCCGCACTGCCTTGGTCTGGCGCTCTCGCTTACCTGCTCC